GTCTCTAATGCAAAACGAAACCAGACAACATTGCCCTTACAACCAAAGAGGTGCAAAAATGAAATGTGATTAGGGCGATTCTTCTTTCACTCACACCAGTGTAAATCAGAAGCAATTCAACTGAAGTCAATGAAATTACACTGGTGTAAAACCAGAGTAAATGAGACTAGAAACTGGTCAAACTGGTGGAGTTACACACACATGCTGGTGTAAATCTGGAGTAACTACAGTGGAGTCAATGGAGTTTTACTGTTTTAAAAGAGGCGTGAATGAGAGGAGAATTCAGCTCAAAGTCGTAACAAGCATCTCCTCCTACAAAGAAAAATGAAGTTTTACCATTAACAACAACGGACAAGCCAGGCCATTTGTGTCTGCTTTCTGGAGAATGCACCCCTGCCTTCCCCTTTTATGAAGTACCAATTGTACGGGATAGTCTTGTAGAAGCATAAGTGAAACTATCAGTGACAACCTGCTTAGATCTTAGCATTACCTTCCCCAGTGCAATGAACAAATTGATGCAGTATTGTGAAAGCGCAGAGGGGTTGGCCATGAAACAATAGAACATATATTGACTGTAACTACTCCCCAGAATATTAGATTTCATCTTGGAAACACTAATGCATAGTAAGCAGGCCAGGTTTCTTCTACCATGACAGACTCCCCTCTTTCAAACCTAGTCAATATCAATCTACAATTTCATGATGTAAGATTTCAAAATGGGGATGACACCCCTGAAACACTGAAGTATACTGATGAAGATGATACAGAATCACCGAGGAATCATGACACTGCTCCCAAACTAGCATTGGTCCACTTGACCTTTAAAGATCATTTTCATTGTTCAAAATCACTTCAATGTCCCTCAGTCAAACACCATGTGGGTGTTTTTATTATCTCTGGAAGAAGTATCAGCTGTGACATGGTCTTTTCATGCAATGACCACTCGAGAGACACTGTATTAAGAGAGCTAAATACACACAGTGGCAGTCTCTGAGCTAACAAAAATGAATGACACCAGTTGTTTTACAGTAAGGCCCTTCATAGGATAGGTTCGTGTGTGTTGGGTGAAAGTTTGGTGCAATTGCAGATTCATGGCTGTATATAAATTCTTAAGAATTTTCAGCATTAAGAGTGAAATCCAGCTGCTGAAACTACTGGCCAAATGGGTTTCGGTTTTGGGGTTTGTTCTCTGAAGTGGAATTAGTTCTGGTTTGAAAGTTCTGATTGACAGCTCTGGGGACAAGTCCTTTGTTCATCTCCAGGTAAAGTACAGGCAGAACCAGACAAGTTTCGCTCAGACTCCCAAATAGACCTGAACCCTGACATGGTGAAAACATAGACTGGGATTTCAAAGGAGCCTAAGGGAGTTAGATGCCTAAATCCCATAAAATTCAATGGGAGTTGGGCGCTTTGCTTCCTTAGGTTCATTTAAAAATCACTGCCATGGCCCAGACTCTGTGGCTCACTTAGTTCTTATCTTGTCTGCTGAGACAGCCAACAGGGGTCCAATTAATAGCCTTGTGGTGATATGAAGAGCTACTTATTAGGGGATGGGCCTGAGACCCAAAACATTTCACATAGGCACTTCTTGGTTACCACCATGCTGCTGTGATCCAGATGGGAACATTTCTGTCTCTTAACTCTGGATTTTGAATACAGTCATGAATGAAACCTTCAGGGCAATGTTCAGCATCAACAAAAATTGGGTTCTGAACCAGAACTTCTCGGTAGTTCAAGAGCATTTGGATCTGGAGCTCCAGGTCAGGACCATCTCTGTTTAAAAAGTCCCCTGAGGGTAAAACACAACAAAACCAGACATCAGCCTCTCAGAACTGCCAGAGAGATATTTTAAAGTATGGCTACAACACTACATGTTTTAAAATGAGTGACAGTGGGGCAGGTCTGACAGTCAAACGTGGGCACATCTGTAGACTCTCACAGATTCACTGTAAGGATCATCACTCTTGTTCTTTAAGATTGGCTAATGGGTGCAATGGGAATCTTGAGGTATAGCTCTTATTCCCGTTAGCAGGCTGGACAGCAGCTGGTATCGGCAGCATTGTAAATGAGGTACTTGCGGGAGAAGTTGAATGGTGAAGCCAAAGAGCAATAGCAGTATGGAGGGAGGTGAGTGCTGCTAGCAGCAGTGGGAATGAAAGAGGAGTCCGAAGAAAGAGCCGGAGAGAGAGAAAGAAGGAGCTGGAGTGAGAGAGATGCAGCAAGCTGAGCTTTTGCGGGAGTAGCATCTTGAATTGCTTTGCAGTGACTCTCTCTGGCTGACCCACAAGAAGCATTAAAAGGCTCCCAAAAGATCTGCGACCAACCATAGTTGGTTGGTAGGATGGGTCTGGCCAATACTACAGGACCAGGGTGAGTCAAAGAGACGAAGGGGAAAATAAGGGAAAGAGGGTATTGCCCCTATGAAAAAAACACAATTAGATAACTTCTTTGGGGGAGTGGGTAACCAAATTCTGAAAAATATTCCCAGCAGGCGGAGTATGAAACCACTTATAAAGTACTGTAGTCCCTGTGGAACCCTCTGAAGGCTGGTCACTTCACTGGTAGAAAGTGTCCTCAGAAGAGTCACTTTGCCAAGCAAGAATGTAAAGTGTGTTAGGGGCTAAATCGTTCCATATCAATAGCGGCATTGATATGATAAGACATTGACCACTGAGTGTTCCCATAGTATCTCTGGTGAACCACCTTCCCTGTGCTGACAATCAGAGCTCTGAGTGGAGCCTTTACTCTATAATTTGGAGGTAATATTTTAGCACCCATTTCTGATGTGCTGCATCAGTGATTATGCGTGGCAGTAAGCAGCTGTCATCTTCTCTTCTATATACAGAAGTATGGCTTTTTTTGGTCAATTCTACTGCTGTTTTGAAATAAAATGTAAGGTTATTTCAGGATGAGTAATACATTCATTGATGTTATGTTACACACAGAGCATGTTAAAAAGAGTTAAAGGGTGTAAAGTTTAATAAAATGTAGTTAAGAGACTGGATTTCGCTCAGTACTGGGGAACATAGGTTTTTGAGTTAAGCCCTGAGTGGGACACCTACAGTTCATTTCCCTACTGTTTAGAGCAGAATTCTCTTAAAATGGGCCACTCTGGGAGAGAGACTCCTGTGCTGATTTGTGTAAAGTAAGGTGAATTTCAGCCACATCAGATTGTCCTCCTACTTGATCACAGATGACAAGGTATCTAACTCCCAGAATATGAGTTTCCCTCTGAGATTCCTAGTCCAAGAGGAACCAATATGAGGGTAATGGAGGTGCTTCATGTGTTTAAAGACAATAAAATGCAAGGATCATTTGTCCATGGGAAATTCATTCGCTACACAGAAGTAACACCAACCTGCCTAAACAAGAGTATTTGCACAGTGTCTTCCAAGTGTGGCTTTGCTCCCATTCCCAAGCCTGCCTCCTAAATCCTGGGAACTCACTTATTCTGAAGGGTGCTAGCTAATAAATACTGAGTTGCTAGCCACAGAGTTCAAGATGAGATGTTGTTATTTGTTTGCTCTTCTATACTTCTCTGCATAGATCTAACTCTCAATGCCATTGCCTACATCTATGCAAGCGGAGTTGACTTGTAAATTTGAGGGCATACATCTAAGCAAGAGAGGGATTGCTTGGACTGAACCTAATGGCAGACTTTCATTAAGCCTTCTTTTGGTTTACATATTTTGATTGTATGCTAATTCAACATTTGAAAAGAAAAGCAACTTTACACAGGTAATAGAAAAGAGAAAACCACACCCCTGACACAACAAAGTCTTTTCCAACCAGACAAAACCAAGAGGACTCACCATCTCCCAGCAGGACCGACCTATCCTGCTACAAGCTTCTGAAGTTTTTTTTGCCCCCTTTGAAATACATAGGATGTAGGATTCTTAATTGTATCCCATTGATGTATTACTTGTTAACTGATTTTTATTTTTCAAAAGATAATCAGAAATATTAAGCGAGTGCAAGAGAGTGTGATGAATTACCATGAAGTAAGAACAGATTACAGAGCAAATGTAGAGCTTTTGGTTGGAACTACTTTGGTAGCTAAATCAGAGAATTGGGAGGGAGCCCAAACAAGTATATATAAAGCAATCCTACTGTTGGGCATTTGACCTGTGTAAAAACAATTGGTCAATTGGCCAGTCAAATATTGTGAAATAATGTGAAAAATTGTCAAATATTTTAAAGCATTAATTAGTACAGTATTATTAGTACAGTAACAAAAGTAACAAAAAAGAGCAAGATATTATGGTCGCCAGTAGACTTAGCATTAGATACTTATGCGTAATTACAAAAAGTAAGTCACTTAACTAAGGTACTTTAACTCAGAAAAATGCAAAACAATGAAGTTCTAAAAAAATTAAAGAATGACACCATACAAAAGGTAGGCTGCTGCTTATATCAGGACATTCTTGGAATATTTGACAACATTTCATGATGGCCAAATAATAAATAAGTTGTCAACTGACATTATTTGATGGGTCAATTGACCAGTTTGCTAAGCCTATGCAATCTATCCTTTCAACTCCCCAGCAAAAAAAACCCAGGATCAGAAAAGATCATTCCAATTCCTTCATCATACAGATAAAACAACTAATGAGAACTTTATTTTGAGCTGAAGACTCTGAAAAGAACTGGGAAATATGGTGCAGTCCATCATCTCCTCCACAGAGACAGCTGCAGGAAATATCTGCACTCTTCAGCTGTCTCAACTGAACCACCTGCAGAGCGGTGCTAATGAAGTGCTTGCTAACTTGAAGACCAACTCAGGAAAGAAACTGAATCCAGCCTGAATTATATATAAATCTCAAGGGTGTTTAGTTTAAGGTGGCTGTAGAAAAGTAAAAGGGAACTGCTCATGTCGATCTATACCTGGCCATCCCCTGCTGATATCCACCAGACACCTTTACTGACTTGACTTTGTTTTTACTGATAGCTCTTATGCAACAGGCTGTAATAAAAGTCTGAAAACAAAATGAGATACTTACCCTCCTTCAAAGATCTTGATCCTGGCTGGCTCCCCTCTTTTGGATATGGGAGCCTCTTCTTCTGATTTGCCTCTTTTATCCTCTTCCTTCTCAGCTCTAGTTAAATCTTTTCGACCTTCATTGGAAAGGAGTGAAGGCAAATGAACCTACCTCCCCAAAAGAGCAAAACAATCATTTATTACATTTCAAATGGCTCTAACAAACACACAGACCATATACACTGGGTTCCCTCAGATAGAGAAGGCAACCTACCACATGTGGTGCTGACTATGATGACTGTACCTAGTAAGTAGGACTTACATTTTCAAACATGATCTCTAATTCTGGATCTTGTCCTCTGTTTGATATGTCTTATTTAGACTGAACTTTTAAGGGTGGGGAATGTGTTAAAGCACCATGTAAATTAATAACAATTTACATATATTATTATAAAAACTATAATCATTAACAAATATTTAAGAATTACATCCCTCTTGTAAGGTGGGTCTATACAGTTATCTTCATTTTACAAATCTGAAAACTGAGGCATAGACAAGTGAAGTGTCTTGTCCAGGGTCACTCAGTGAGTCAGTGGCAGTCGGGAATAGAAACCAGGAGACCGGGTTCCCAGTGCATTGCTCCAGCGGTTAGAGATGATCTCCTATATATCCATACACTCTCTCTGATAGATTCAGACAGTGTATGAATTCCTAGAAAGGAAATAGTTTTAAAATGTAGGAGTTTGGCCTCAGCTTTGGTATCTTTCTTCAGAAATCTAGATTTTCGCCCTCTAAACTTTGTATGAACCGATGGTTACTGAACGCTCTTGGGTGACTTCCTTTCAGGAAGAACAAAGCTAGCCGGGGCTTAGCACCCCCACCGCCACAAATATAATGCCAACAAAAACTGTTTCTCCCTCTCCCCCGAGAGGTTCTAAAAGTGAAGTTTTCTCTTCCTCCCACTGCTAAGCATGAGGCTCTTTGCTTTGTCATAGACCCAATCATAAAGACAGTCACACAGTGACATGCCATCTAGCGTGACTGTAAATCATTATGTTCTGTGCTATGTGACTCAATCTATTCTAAGAAGAGCAAGACTTTGCATCTGGACCTCGTTATGCTCCTGCAAGAAGCTCTGCATGACATTACATTTGGTGACATTACAAAGTTACGAGTTAACAAAACATTTTCTTTCACATCATCCACAAAGGTTTGAAAGTGCAAGGCAAGGTTAGCTTTCACCTGAATTACATTTACTCTGTGTACACAGCAGTACAGAGTGATTTCATTTTGTAGATATTGCCATTAGATGCTCAATGTATCATCCATAGCATTAAACTGTGTCCCAGATGATCAACAGTTCACTTCTTGGGGGAAGGTTGGGAGTGGCTTGTGAGAAGTTTCACTACTGTATGTTATTGCAAACTACAATCTGATTACTAGAGGAAGGAAGATCTACCACAGATTAGTGATATGACACTTGGCAAATCACTTAGGGCAAAGTTTTCAAAATTTTCCACTAATTTTGGGAATCTGGCTTGAGACACTCAGCGTACGTCTACACAGCAAAAAAATCCCCACAGCAGTGAGTCTCAGAGCCTGTGTCAACAGACTTAGGTTCAGAGGGTCTGTGCTGTGGGGCTAAAAATAGCAATGTAGATGTTCAGGCTTGGGCTGGTGCCTGAGTTCTGAAAGCTGAGGGTCTCAGAGCCCAGGATCCAGTCCAAGCCCAAATGTCTACATTACTATTTTTAGACCCGCAGCACAAGCCCAAGTCAGTTAACCCAGGCTCTGAGACACACAGCTGTGGGGATTTTTTGCGGGGATTGTAGGCTGCTGAGAACCTACAACTCTGAATGAAGTCAGTGGGAGCACAGATGATCGGCACCCTTGAAAACCAAACCTTAGATGTCATGATTTGAACATCCAAAGTTAATGAAACTTTTCTGCAACTTTTCACCTTAACTTTTTCTATGCCCCAGTTTCACCATTTGTAAAAGAACAGTAATAATATATGCCATCACAGATGTAGGGTTAGGCTTAATATCTCAATGTTTTTGAAAGGGTCAGATATAAATGGACAGATGGAAGGCCCTAGACAGATGTAAAATAAATTATACAGTTGCTATTTTACTATTATACAATTGCATCATTTACCAAGTGTGCATGTTCACTAAGCAATTTAGTTAGCCAGGCAGCTATTTGCAGAGCAGTCTACTCTTGCTTCAAACTTTACCTGCTTGGTAAATCTCCCTGGGACTGAAAAATCAAGCCAAGTCTGAAGACTGTATGCAATGTACTACAGCTTACTGGTAACTGCCGGTATGGCCTATTGTATTAAAGACTATGGCTTATATTAACGTTTCTATTGTATTAACTGACAGTGTATAGTTATAGAAAGAGGATTTTTAAGGAAAATAATTACAAAGGTGCAGACTGAAGCCTGAACTTTCAGCCCCTTGACTGAGGCCATTGGAACCCAGCTATTGTTGACCACAGCTTCCTGGGTAGCCAGGAAACTGGCCCTGGGAATCTTTCTCAATAACATGTAAATGAGCAGGCTTTAGAATGTCACGCCTACTGAACATTTGACTAAAAATCACTTTTTTTCCTCCATTGAATGAAACATGATTTGTGCTAATACGATCCCATTTAAGCAGCAGTTACTAATATAAACTAAGGAAAACCATTTTCTTAGAAGACACATCAATAAAGCAGCCATCCCAATTTAGTGTGTCGCAGCTGAATACAGTCAACTTAAAACTATATTTTACACATACACAGCACCTTTCATCATGAAACATTTTTCAAATATATACATATACCACCAGTAAATGGTAGTGGCTTTGGGGTAGGAGACAGATATATAAGAGAAAGCACAACAGTGTGGGGAGGTGAATTTTGTAGATACACCAGGACAAATCCCCTACTCTTGCAAAATGCATCATGACCACTTTAATATCCACCGGGGCTTTCTTTTTAAGGTTTTGGCAAAAAGATCTTTAATCCATTTGGGGGAAACTGTATGTAATGAAATATCTCTGTCTTGAGGATTGAGAGTTGTGTCATCCCTGTCTAGATGCTAACCTATGATTACAGGGAAACCAGATATTTTAAACCTGATGTTTAGGTCATCTTCCCCAGCACAGCCTAAAAGCACTACTCTGTGTACGTGTGAGCACCCACAGCCCATGACAAAGTCAATTGGCGGGCGCGTGGCTCAGCATTTCTCAAAATGAGGCTCATAGTTGGTAATACACTTTGAGACTTTTGGGATGAAGGATGCAGCATAAGGGTAAAGTATTGTTATTATAACACACATAGTATGGGTCTCCTAGCTCCTTGAAATCATGTCTTGGGGGTTTCTGCAGGAGATTGATGGAACTGCTGAAGAGAAATATGGTAACTATGTGTATTTGTGTATGGTAACTATGTATATTTTAAGACATATTTATAAGCAGCAATTGCAGCTGACATGACAATAAATTCAATCTTCAGGGTTCATTTTGCGATTCAGAAATAAAATGAACAATCCGGCAATACAAATTGGGTTGAAATGAGTATCAAATTGCAAAAACTTCAGAGCAATTCTGTTTGCTAATCTGCATAATCATGACCTGGATTAGGGATTTGTATAGTTCCCTATGAACTGAAAACAGTATGTGCTATGCTCTGGAATCCTCCCTCCCCTCCCCACCACCAAAATGAAGGGGAAAGCACCGCGTGGTACCCAATAGCTTCTCCCAGACCCATAGGCCCACATGGCATCCCAGTGACTTTAGTGGAGCTCTGCAGTCACAGGGCTCTGCCTGTGTGAAGCAGCTTGCATGACTGTGGCATGGATGGTTAAGAATATAAAACAGGTTTGTCTTACTTCTTTTAACCCTTTTCGGGGTTCAGGGCCAATTTTACAAAAGTATTTAGGCCCTTAAAGATGCAGTTAGGCACCTAGTGGCATATAAGCTGCAAAGTGAGTTAAGTGCTTAACTCCCATTGATTTTTCAATGGGAGTTAAGTGCCCAAGCTGTTTAGGTGCTTTACTAAATCCCACAACCTGCCTATCTGCATCTTTAGGTTCCTAAATATCTTTGTAATCTGGCCCTGAGTACTTTTGACTGTTCAGATACCATGGTGATGACTCTGGGATAGGTAGGTAGACTTACAGATGGAATCCCATTACTTAAAACATCCCTACTAGTTTATTTTTTATTAACATTGCACAAAACAAAACAAAAATTATGAGAACTTTTATAATTTTTTTAAATTGAAATATCAAGGCAAATGTAAGTGTCATCTTTTGTGCTCAGTACTGGTAATTCAAAGTAAGGAGGCGATCACGTACTGCTCTGCTGATTACCAGACAAGTAGACCCTGAACTATATAATATCCTGCCATAAAGCAGATTGGCCAATGTCTTTTGGCCAATAGTGTCGTTTGTGTTCTTATGCACTCCCGCTGTCCCACTGAGGGTAAGCACTCACCAGCGTGAGAAAGGGATGCACAAGGAGCCCCTACTAAATTAACACCTCCCCTCCCTGCATTTCTGCCCCCCCCCCCCACCCCATACACACAGATAGGAGAAAAGCAACACTTTTCTTACCTCCGTCATTTTTGGCTTCCTGGAGCTGGACGGCACAAGCCTGCCTGTCTCTGGACGTGGAGCTGTAGCCATGGTATAGATTTCTTTGCACACCTTCTGCTTGGATCTCAGGAGTGAGAGGGCTGCTTTAGTGGATATACCTGGGAGGTTGGGATTATACAAGCTAATGCACCAGCTGGCATACACTGAGGACCTTCGGTCGACTTGCTGGATGTGATTTGGCTTTATGTAGTTTAAATAGCACCAACTGACATTAGTAGTTGTGTGGAGACTGGGGAACTGAAATACCTTCTTCAGATCTGTACCTTCTCGAGACTTCATTGCACTTTGTGTGACATCAGAATGAGGTGCTGGGCTCGGAGGATTTGGTAGGGGGTGTTCCGCCAGCTCTTTGGAGTCTTCCTTCTTTACTGTCTGCAAAGGTGTCTTGCTTCGGAACTGCTTGCCAGCTTGTGGTGTGTATTCCTCCAGTGCCTCAAAGCTCAAAGCACCTGAATATGGCAAGGCTGGTGGCATAGTACTTGGGATTTCCTTTGGCTCGGATTGCTCAGAGGACAAATTAGGTGGAGTTTCAACCTCAAGCCGGCCTTGGCTCTCTGCCAGAAAGTGAGATCTATCCTGCTTTTTCCCCTCCTCTATTGCACTGGGTGGCTTCACCACTTCCAACTTTTCTTCCACTTCAGAGACTTCCTCCTCTTTCACTCTTTTCTGCTGCTGTGTTTCCATCGTCAGCTCCAGGCTACCAGCTGGAGAGAGCATCCGCTTGCTTCCACCAACTGTTGATGAGCCCCCTTCCAATCCCAGGACACTTTCTGATGGGGAGGTGAGTGGCATATAGCCCTTCCTTTCTGGTAATGGCAATGGCACTCTCAGATACGGAGTCTGGAAGATGCTTCTTTGATCCTCTGTGATCATCTGTGCCAAATCGAAGCCTATTCCATGAACATCAGAGCTGCACACCAGGGCACCCTTGGGTTGGCGATCATCAAACTTTGGAAGGACAATAGAAGATGGACTACACTGGGACTGAGTGACTAGGATTTGAGAAAGAGTAGTATACATTGCACTCCCATAGGTTGGCATGTTAGTCTGAATGCGAACGGGGACTACAAGTGATACCATAGGATCCGGACATGTAGGAACCATCAGCTGAGATGTGGAGACTGAGGCTGAAGGGCTGGCTGTGCAGGTCAAAGGATGTAACCTGCTGTCGGAGCTGTATTCTGTGCATGGAGAAAGGCTGGAGGCCCCTGCTGGTGGAGAGACACTGGATTTGATCTGCGGTAAATGGCCACCAACCTCACCCGGCAACTGGAGAGCAAACGGAGACTGTAGAGGTAGAAAAAATGCAGAAGGGAGTGGTGAGGAGCCCGGGTAATGGACAGGTAAGAATGAAGAGTGCTGCCTGAATGGTACTTCTGCTGGATGTGACATTAACGGAGGGACAACGTGAAGCTGGCCTGGGTGGAGAAGAGCCTGCTGGAGAGGAAGTGGTGGTGTCTGAAATATAGAGGGAGGAATCTGTGGCATAGGAAATTGAGCAGAGAGGATGTCGGACATCGTATGAGTGGAGAAGAGCTCTGCAGACTGTCCCGGCTGCGGCAGAAGGTGCTGGAAAGGGAAGAGAGAGACTTGTGGGGACATACGCTGTTTTTCATGCAGGGCTAGTTGTGGCATTGGATGATGAAACGCCTGCAGAGCCTCAGAGTATGGCTGGCTGTACACATGCTGAGGGCTATCTTTTGGCTGACTCTTATCTCCATGTGAGGATGAGGACGACGAAGATGTAGGCTGATGGGGCAAACTGGTGACAGGAGATTTACTGGAAGAAGGCAATGGTTCTTCTGTCTCTTGCCTTCCTTTTGGGGCTGAGTCTGTCTCATGCTCTGGATGCCTGGTGAGAGATGCTTGCCTAACCAGAAAGCACTTCCTCCTCTCCTGTGGAGCCGAGGAAAGTGAAGGGCCAGGTGTTGAAGCAGAAGAGGACGACAAGCTCCCATAGTCAAATGATTTACTACGGGGCTCCGACATCTGAGAAGGATGAGACACATTAGGGGTCTGCTCAGAAGCAGATCTTCGCATTTCCCTGGAATGATGATGGTGGCTCGGTACCATTAACATATGTGAGCCAATGCCAAGGGGTTTAGTATGGGATTCGGAGGGCTGGCTGACAGCCTCAGATTTACTGTATTCTTCACGATCAAATGAAATGGAATGGCTGGAGCCATGGGATATACTACTTTCCTGACTTGGACTTCTCGTCAGGGAGACAGACTCAAAACTGGACTCTCCAGAAGACTGAGCCATTTCTGCCAGCCGCAGCCTTTTCTTTTTTGGTGGGAGTTTCTCAGCAGGAAGCTGGGAGAGAGTTTGGCTTCTCTGAGGCCACTGAAATTCCTCAGTTTTTTCTGGCTCTTTAGGAGGTGGCTCAGGCTCAGTTTCAGGTCTATCGGGCTCTTCAGTGACAAGAATCTCAGGGACCTGGATGTTGGGTTGGCGTACCAGCTTTGGCTGCAGGGAATGAGATGGCCTACTGTGCTGCATTGCTGGCTGAGATGAATACTGTGATATAGGTTTTTCTTCTGCTTCCAAGCCGCTCAGCTGTTCTATAGAGTCAGACTTCTCGAAGGAACTTGTATGCTGGATGACAGATATCTCTTTTGAAGTTTTTCTTCTCTCTTTGCTTTCTGTACTAGAAGCTGGCTTTGTAGTTCTGGAGTGAAAGCCAGCACTGACTTCGGTGAGCGGCATGGCTTTACCTGTATCGGCTGGTGACTTAATGGACTCACGGGGTAAGTTCAAAGCAACATCCGATGATGCTGGGTTAGTAAACTGACTTACTGGCCTCATGCTGGATGAGGGAGTTTCAGGCAACTCAAAAGCTGGAGGGTCCTCGTCATCACCAAGGCTCTTCTCTTTTCGTCTTTTTCTGAGTGGAGTAAGCTCTAAACCGGTCCCCAGCTTGTAATGCATCATCTGCGGCCATGTATCAGGATCCACAAGACTTTTCTCAGTGTCTGCAGAGGTATGGGAACTGGAAGAACGAGGCTTCGAGATCTGAAGTTCTGAACAGTAATATTTCTTATGCGCTTCATAATTATCCCTTTTCTTGTATCGAGCACCACAGATATTACACTCATAAATGAACCCTTTAACTTTTGGACCCTTCCTTGACTTTCTGGTCAGATCACTTTCCTTGATTTCTTGTTCTTCGGCAGGTTTGGAAACGGTTTCTTTGCTTACTGAGCTAACCTCCTCTGAACCATATTCCATTCCCAAAGGTAGCTCAATAGCTGGTTGTCGTTTTAGCATTCGAGGATGTGAAGAAAACACTTGACTGCGGCTTACGACATCAGATTCCATGATGTGGTCATCAAATGAATAACTACCTCTAAAGGTCTGAGGGGAGCTTATAGTGCAGGCAGCAGAAGGCATTGAGTGGCTTCTTAGGAGAGGCACTGTCTCTGTGGCACTGTGGGATTGCTGAAGTGATAACAATGATTGTTCAGGCTTAATTTTTTCACCGTGGGATGTCAATGATTTTGATGCATTCAACTGGCTACTGGAACCAGACTTGCTGTCAAACTGAAATGGTTCTCTATATACACCAGACTTTGGAGATTCAATGCTGCTACGTCTAGATAACGAACTTCTTCTAGGCTTCACGCTATCTATTTCACTGGTATCTACAACAGCTTCATTAATTGTAATTAGCTTAGTGATGTGTTCAATAACCTGTGTTCTAGGCACAGACAATGGTACCATGCTAGGTTTATCTTCAGTGGACACGTGCGGAAACCCCTGGGTTGTGGTTGCAGCTAACATTGCTGTCCTTTGCCCAATTCTCCCACATTTCCCAAAAATAATTTCTGCGTAAGATTTTGCATTTGTATTTGGCGGGCTGATCTGTTGTTCTGCACTTTCTGATCGTGAGAAGTAGCCTGACTCTGTACTTCCTTTACTGCCAGGGCTAAGGAATGCCTGCTCATCTATCACTTTCTTCCTTTCACTTAATCGGAGTGCAAGCTTCTGTTTTATAGTATGTGTATCTTCTGATTTGTGGCTCAAAGCATGATCAGATGAAGGCTCCACAAACTGCGTGTTGTCCTCAAGAGACTGAGACATACTGGAATGGGATAATGAACACCGGTCGTGGCTGGAACCTTGGCTTCCTAGACTATGCAAACTACTAGATAACAGGGTGTGCTTTCGCCTGGGTGATAGTTCTACTGAATGACCTGACATTGCACTTGTCTCCTCTTCTGAATCTGTGCTTTCTCCTTCAGTAGGTTCTTCAAATTCCTCCCCACCAATCCTTTCCATTTCCAAACTGGAAGGATACATCTCTGCTCCAATTCCTGAGGCCAGCCCCGCTTTTATTCTATGAGCATGAGACTTCCTGTGTTTATACAAATTGCTTTTAGTCTTAAAAGAAAAGCCACATGGAATGCAAGGGTATGGCCGCTCACCTGTGTGTGATCTGATATGTTTCTGGAGTACACTTGGCTTTGCACAAGGCCTACTGCAGTACTGACAAATGTATTTGCCTGGCTTCTGAGGTTTCTTCTCCTTCTTGTGCACTTCCTCAGTTTGTTTTAAGGAAACTTGGGAAGGTCGAGGGATATAGACTTTTTGAACGGATGGCATGTCCTCTCCAGGAAGGATTGGTGAATGGGAAGGTATGAGCTGGCTGTGATGAGAATGAAGCCCAGGTGATGAAAAAGAGCCAGAAGGACCCGGTCTTACTGGATCGACTAGCTGCCATGTGGGCCCTTCAAGGATCTGCTCTGGTTTTCCAGGAGACATAAATGCTGGTGATAATGGATGCTGCTGAAGCTGTGAAACGTGGGGAGAGTGCTCAAAAGAGGAATGCTTGGGTTGCTTCTGATGTCCAGTCTTCTCCTGAGATTCCTCTCTTGGAATTGGCAAGGAGCCAGAAAAGTGCTGCTGTGATATGATATCACGAAGAGGGGTTGCTTGCGAAGAAGCAGAGCTGCCCTGATACGCAGAGGCAGATGAAATACTGGATTGGAAAGCCTCTCCTTTGGTAAGCCTCTTTCTGGGACTTTCCTCAGCCTTTTTTGTGCTTTTCTGGCTTTGTTCAGGATCCATGACCTTAAAAGGGTCTTTGAATGCTATTTTGGGCAGGTTTTGGCAGGCTTCATTTATGAATAATAAAGGTCTCCTCTGTAGATTCCCTGCTTTGCCTGCATTTGCTATGAAGCTGGAGCTACCAAGAGATGGTTGTTGATATAAGATTTTACTAAAGTATCACTAGTTGCTATTTGATTCAAAAAAATGTTTCAGGGTCAATAAAGTTCACATTGGTAACGCATGACAAACTACTTCAAAGAGAGAAAACTTTCCAAAACTTTTAGTCCAAATGTTTTCCTTGTGAACTTGGTTAAGGCTTTAAATCTTGCCATTTTATTTCAGTTGACAGTGGCAAGCCTTCAAAGTCAAGAAGCAACCCACAATGTGTCTCTTGTTTGTTATGCAAACCTTTGAAAACTTGAGACTTTAGTGCTCATCTCATAATCATCGTTTTCCTTTGCAAGGAAAATAACACTGAATGGTGTGTGTTCCCCGTGTCTTCCTGCTCTTCCACTTTTGAGTTCAAAGGCCTTGAAAAAGTATTCTCCACATTTCTGTAATTACAACAACCAAGACACAAAAACAAACACACAAATTACTGCAGCATTCATATTTCACCAATTAAATACTGTTATATTTTTATAGAGGATAACAACATTCTATACAAAAGAAAATTCATAATAGTTCAACTAATTCTTACCATTTTAAACATTTTTAGTGAAAATGCAAACCTAAATATTACTGCTGTGAAAACTCAGGGATCTACTCTCTTTTCAATACATGCATACCCAGGCACTGTAACAATAACTAAAGCTAGAGGGACACAAACAACTTGAAATCTAGTCACAGTATTTAAAAAAAAATGAGTTAAAAGTAATTTCAGATCTTACACCTGCTTGACTTCTCCCTCACCCCATGCCAATTTTTATAGTTTTACAATCACATTTTCCTACCTAATTTAATGGACTATACAAAGAAAACCATGGAACTAAGTACATACAAAGTATTACCAAATGCACCAAGTAAACACACTGAAAAACAGAGAACAATCTCTCTCCTTCTAAGTCTCTTAATGCTGCAATAATCTTAGGTGTCACTAGTTAAAACAGTATGTAAAAAAAAAAATCATACAGAATATTTTCTTACATTGACTGTGTCCCTTTAAGTAAGCTCCCTGAGTTTATCATTTTCCCCCCCTAATAGATAATGACAGGGAGTCCTATTTTAGTGCTGCTCCTGTCGGATGCCCATATCTCAAATATGGGGTTGCTCACGTTGGCACTGTGTGCGTAAATGCTAGATTTATGGGCCTACCATTTTAACCAGGGCCGGCTCCAGCTTTTTTGCCGCCCCAAGCGGCGAAGAGAAAAAAAAAAAAAAGACGCAATCGGCATCTGCTCTCCCGCACCGCTTCATTCTTCGGCGGCAATTCGGCGGCCAGTCTGTCCCTCCAAGAGGGACTGAGGGACCCGCCGCCGAAGACCCGAACGTGCCGCCTCCTTCCATTGGGCCGCCCCAAGCACCCGCTTGCTGCGCTGGTGCCTGGAACCAGCCCTGATTTTAACAACCCAGTGTGGGCTTGCGATGTCCTGTTTACATGACCACATTTGAAAAAAGAACAGGAGTACTTGTGGCACCTTAGAGACTAACATTTGAAAACTGACCCCTTGACTGGTATACCCCATTCTCAGATCAGTATACATTATCATAACTGTCATTCACACTTAATCTTTGAGAACTACAGTGAGATTAAAATTCAGAATAGTGGGGACACCTCACTTGTTTTTTTGTCATTACTCTAGGCACCTAAACAATATAATTGCAATGCTTTTCATATTCCTAGACATCTCGCATATTCATCAGACTCCAATATTTAGCTTCCTCTGTTGCTGAAGGGCCATTGCCACTGCTCTCAGCCTCTCCATTCCTCTTATAACCTGGCTGTAATTCACAAGTTTTTGATTTCTAAGTGCATGGACTTGTCTGCCAGGTGTGGGGGCACGTGGCAACGGTGAACGGCAACTCCCAGAATCTTTGGAATTCCACCACCCTGCAATCAGGGCCGGCTCTGGCTTTTTTGCCGTCCCAAGCAAAAAAAAAAAATTAAAAAAAAATTGGGGCAGCCAGAACAGCAAAGCAAAAAAACCACAACAAAAAAAACCTGTGGCGCGGCTGGAGCCAGGGTGCAGGGGGACTCCCTGCACTGCAGACGTGCCCCGGCTAGCAGGGGGGAGGGGGAGGGAGCGGGGGGAGAGAGAGAAGGGAGGCGGCCAGGGCTTCAGCGGGGCGCTCGCCACGCAGCCCCGACTGCTTCGCCGCCTGCCGGGAGGGCTCCGCGCCGCTCCGGTAGGCGGGGAGGGAAGGACACAGGCTGCCCTGCCGGGCTTGCTACAGACCTGGCACTGGCTGGGGCAATCGGAGCGCGCAGCCCGCTCCAAGCAGGGCGCTCCCCTCCTCCGCGCCGCTGCCCCCTACAGGGCGGCCGGATCGGCGAACAAAACAAAACAAACAAACAAACAAAAGCAGCCGTGCCGCCCTAGGATTGGCCAGAATGCCGCCCCGTAGAATCTGCCACCCCAAGCACGAGCTTGCTCGGCTGGTGCCTGGAGCCGGCCCTGCCTGCAATGGATACCTGTACATGTCAGTATAAGAGAGGAACTTAGCTCCGTGAGCTTTCAGCATGTTAAAGAACTTTAAGGAATAATACAGCTGTTTTGGAGCATGTCCCTGAGACTCTCTCCAGTCACTGGAGTTAACTACATTAACGGTATTATATCACATTTTTTTTAAACATATGCATAGAGGTTACAGTTCTCTCCCATCTGCAATATCCTTATCTAGAGCATATTCTGAATATGTAGGCTGCAATTTTCAAACCTGAGTGCCTAAATTTAGTCACCTAAATAAAAAGTCTGATTTTCAGAGGTGCTGAGCACCCATAACTCCAAATGAAGTAAATCAGGTAAATTGCGTATATAGGGCAATCCACTTACAGTGAACTTGGATATGAGACGCTGTTAACCTACTGTCAGTCAACAAACCAAAAGCTTTTAAAGAGAATGTTTGGGAAGACATATTCAGTCTTTATTGAAATAGGAGAGCTTCTCAGAGAGATGGAATGGAAGATGGCCAGTGTCTTGTGAGAAACAGGGATTGTGTCTCTTAAGTAGGAACAATTGGCAAGTACAATGTTGTGACACACTGTACCTCAAAATAATACCCATAACCCCCACATTCACCACTTTTATATGGCATTATGATATATTTTGTACAAAGTATGCCTTGTGAGGTATCATTTGAAAAGTCATAATTTGCTGAACATCGTTGTCCTGTTAAAATCTGTGCATCAACATTGTCTATGGAAATATGAGATTTTGCTATAGGTTTGTTACTGAAACATATTGTGAGTCTGGGAAAGACCCACAGACTAGCCCCTCAGAGGTAACTAAGGACAATAAACAAAGGCCTTGAATGTCAAGCTGCAAATACATAGGAGGTGCAAGCAAGAATTTGCAATTCATATGAAGGACTGTTTGTAAGGCACGTAGGCAATAGGACTGCCTAACCCCATGATACAGCAAGGATTTTTCCAATACGAGGAGTTGGGATATAAAAAGGGAGAATACATTTACACACAAATTACCTCTCCTCCCCTCACCTCTACTCACAGAGCAAGATCGTTTGAAAGACAAAGAAGCATCATTGAACTAGAGGAATGGTCCCAGGCTGTAAGGGGATCCAGCCTGCAAACTAAGAACTATGAACTGTAAACTGCCTGCAGCATCTGGTGTGGTGAGAAAGTCGCTTGCTTCAAATTTTACTTATCTTGGTAAAGTTTAGGCATTAGATTGTGATTCTATCATTTTATTTCCTTTTGTAACCAATTCTGACTTTTTATGCCTGTATCACTTATAATCACGTAAAATCTATCTTTCCATATGTGACATTATCTGATTGGAATATGATCATGCAAATCATTGTTGCTACCACTGTCATATAATTGCAACGAATCTTACACAAAGTGTGACGCATGGCCAGAAAGGGTTAAGCATCCTGCAGGGTAAATAACCCCGAGCCAACCTTTAGAGACATGTTAGAAAAGTATGCAAATGGTAATTAGAGCCATTCCATGGCAGATAGGCTAGAACTTTGAAATGCAAACCTATATTGTTAGAAGTTAGAGGTGATACTAATTGTATGTGTGTACTCATATCTTGTTAGAGGTTAACAATGTAGTCAAACAGTCCCTGTCTATGCTGTATTCTGTTAATTCAGAGATCAAAAGGAAATATTAACATTTAAATGAACTGTAGACAGAGTGATATCAATGTATTCATCTCTCTTTGAAATGTATAGCAAATCACCTGTGAATGGTGGAAAATAGGTAATTGCCTTATGTTAATCCCTATAGCTAATTACTGGTGATGCTTAGGAAATAGGTCTACTTCAGAGTCTCCATGATTGCCTATTGTTCGCCTAAGGACTTCAAGCTGTCAAAAGAAGGCCTGAAACTGTATAAAAACCTTTGGGTCCTCATCCTTTTTAGCTCAGATCTGCTTGATGCTTCATGTAGTGAAGCTTAAGTCATAAGACTGAGATCTCCATTCCTATCTGCATCACCATGAATATGAACATTGGACTATAACCCTGCTCTGGGGTCATTTCTAGACTTACACCAGTGCATTGTAGTTTCGACACATCTGCCCCTCTGTGGTGCCCTCATGCCAGCAGTAGTCTGTGGAACAGAACATTAATTTAGCCACCAGCTTCTAGTCATATTTACATTTACAGTGCACAGATGGATCATGGGAGTGTGAAAGGAGAATGTGGGATGTGACAGACCCAAGTCCCCAGATTCCAATGGAGAGAATCAACTTCAGCATCATTTCTCTGATTTAGTGAACATTCTGCATCATGAACATGGTGCTGCTACAAGATTTCAAAATGTCCTGTAAATGAAGTGATAGTGTTACTTTTTGTTTAAAATCAGTGCTCTTTGCTCAGCACACCAGTAAGATAAGACAGAAGCAGTCTGGCATTTCTTTTCTTACTACTTTAGTTTGCTGGAAATGGATCTAAGCAGAGACTTTTTAAGAAAGCTGTGAGCTCTCTCTCTCTCTCTCC